CCTAACCAATATCACGGAGTGGGTGTCGTCCCCTCAGTGCTACTTCACCTGCGGTGGAAATACGACGGTGACGTATGCAAACATCTCCGCTTACCGTAAGTGCCGCTGGCTCCCAGCTGCAGTGGGTCTGGGGGGGCTTTGTGCCACTGACACTTTCTGGTGCAGGGTAGAGCTAGAGAAAGGGAAAAGTCGCTGGCAGAAACTAGGGTACAAAGCTGTGCTCTGGCCCTAGGGCAGGGGACTGGCTGGCTCAGGGGGCAGAGAATGGGACACGGGCCTTTCCCCTCTGGGGACACTGGCTCTGCTCCATTAAGCCAGGCAGCACCTGCGTGGAGTTACCCCCTGGCAGCCGTTGGGTGGGAGGAGTTGGTGGGGCTCAGTCCGGCTCCTGGCAGGGCAGGAATCCACATCCCAACCCCCTGTCCCACTTTGAGCCCCTGCCGGCCGGTCAGCGAGACTGAGCCTGGCTCTCGCCGCCAGCAGGGTCCCCTCCGGGGCAGAGCTCAGCCGGCCTGGGGCACGGGGATGCACCTGCCAGGCTCTTCCCCCAGCGGCGCCTTTCAGCAGCACCCGGGTCTACGGGATCCAATTAACCGACCTTCAGCGTCGGCTCCTCAGTGCTACTTCCCCTGCCCTGGAGAGTGGCAAACAGCGGCCGTGAACATGTCGGTTTATCGTACGTGACTCACAGAACGAGGCTCCTGGGCAGGGCCCGGGGGCGGCTTTCCTGGGGCGCATCCCCTGCTCTTCGCGGAGTCCTGGGGTCTCTTACAGGAGAGGCCACCCCCAGAGGTAGGTGAATCGCCCCTGCCAGGCCCTCCCCAGTTCAGGTCCAATGTGGGAGTTGTCAGCCAGCCCCGGGGGCGTGGGCGGGAGGTTCTGCAACGGCCCAGGGACAGGCAGCGTTTGGCAGACGGATTTCGGCTGCGTCCTCCTTCGCAGCAAGGCGGGCACAGGCTGCACCCTCCAGGCCTGGGCTGCCCCTCGCCATGCGCCGGGCCGGCTGCATGGCTCTGGGCGGTGCCGCTGGGGCGCAGCGGATGGCAGCGCCACAGGGAGCTGGGCGGCTCCTGTCTGGAGAAGCGAGATAGGAGCTGCCCGGAGGGGAGAGCCGGGGGCAGTTTGAAACGCAGCCCAGGCGGGAGCAGCTGCCGAAGTCGGGAGGAGCCACAGCCCCAAGGCCGGGGGGCAGGGGGAGGGCAGGGCCTGCGGAGGGCGAAGGTGGGAGCAGCCGGGGTTGAAGGACCAGCCCGGGGCTCCCGGCCAGGCCTGGAGGCTTCTAGACTTTGGAGGTTGCTGCTCCCTACGGAAGGGGCCCGGGCGGGCGGTGCCTGGCCGGGGGTGAGGCCGCTGACGGCTGAGGTGCTGTAGTGAAAGCCCCCTGCCACTCTGCACGCGGGCACGAGGCGTGCCAGGCACTCGCAGCACCAGCTCCCCCCTCGGGCCCCAGGGCCTCCCATGGCGAGGGAGCTGGGAGCTGGGCTCTTGTTCCCCTGGGGACGGGGCTGGGCCGGTCCCCGTGTTGGATTCCTGCCCTCAGGCTGCCCGTGGCTCCATGTCTGTCATTCCAGAGGCGCCGGAGCGGGTGGTGCTGGAGCCGCTCCCGGAGCTGGAGCTGGGCCGGGCCTATAACCTGACGTGCCGGGTTCTGAAGGTGGCTCCCGTCACACACCTCAGCGTGACCCTCCGCCAGGGGGGACGGACCCTGCACACGGAGACCTTCCAGAGCCGCACCCGGACCGGACCCGACGACGTCACGGTGACCCAGGAGATCACCCCTCGGCGATGGGACCACGGGCAGGAGATCACCTGCCACGCAGCCCTGGACCTGGCACCGCACGGGCCACTCTTGCAAAGCAGCTCCTCTGCGGTGGAGCTCCAGGAGGCCGGTGAGTTCAGGCTCACGCCGGGCCGGTGCTGGCAGCTCAAGTCACACATTTATCGGGACGTGGGTCAAGTGCTCCTCTCCCCCCAACCGCAGAACGGATGGAGGGAGCCAGGCAGGGAATCCCGCTCTAAAGCCAGGCCCAGGCTGTTGGCCCCCGGGAGAAAGCTGCGTGACCCACGCTAACGCCCTGCGGCGGTGCCCCCGGCCAGTGGGTTCAGCACGTACAGAGGTTTATGGGTCGGCTGCAGCTGGTTGCACAAAGCCAGGTGCTTTTCACAGGAAATGTGTGGAAAAATTCAGGGTTAGTTTGGTTAAATGTACGTTTAAAACAAATCGCGAATGGAAAAACGTTCCGTCTCCGAGAGTGGGTATTGCCTGACCGTGCCCGAGGCCCAGCCGCCTCTCTGGACTGTCTCACACCTGCTTGTGGAAACACCGAACAACCCCGGCCAAGATCGGGGGCCCCGTTGTGCCGGGCGAAACCCCCTGCATGAAAGGAGGGTCAGATTTGTAAAGGGATTTGGGCACCTAAAGATCCAGCCAGGTGCCTAGTGGGATTTTGAAAATTACCAGAACAGGTAGGCTCCTAACTCCCATTGGTTCTCTGGGCGCTAGGCACCCAGGAAGGTTGGGCACTTTGCAGCTGCTAGGTGCCTATCTGCATCTGTAGGCACCGAAATCTCTTTTCAATCCAGCCCTAAATCCATTGGTGCGAGGCAGGCTGGGCGCTCAGAGTTGGACAAACGCCACGTTCCCTTCGCATGGCCCAGGATCTTCCCCGGCAGCCCAGCGGAAGCGAGATTCCTCCCGAATTCCTGGGGTTCGAGCCCGGATGGTCTCGGCCCCGACCGGGGGCCGCAGTGAAAACACCGGGGCCGTAGTTTCATTTTATTTCTTTACCAACATCATTTACCGACCCCGCTGGGGAAATTCCGGGGGGTTTTGTGGGGAGGGAATTTAACCCTTTTCTGTCTCCTTTTCCAGAGAGCCCCACGGCTAAAATCATCGCAATTTCTGCCATCGCCACCGTCCCGGCCATGCTACTGGGCATTCTGGCCTGGGGGCTGGCTCGGCGGGGCAGGACCCGGAGAGCGGCAAGGCCAGAGCCCGGGGAAGCAACGCCAAGCCGGACGGATTTCGAGATGGTGCAGGCCAGCGCAGAAGACGCCCCAGAAGAGGGAGGCAGCTTGAATTCTGCTGAAGACGCTTCCCCATAGCGCAGACGGCAGAGCTGAGCCAGGCAGTGGGCAGCGGCGTGGTGCCAAGCGACGGCCGCTCAGACAGGAGATGCACAGAGACTATGGGACGGGGGGCAGGTTGCGGTGCTGCTAGTGAATGTTGCCAGGCGCTCCCCGGTTTCCCATGCGTCTACCTTTGCCAGACTTTAACCTTTCCGGCTGAAATTCCCGGGCCAGGTCTGCTCCGGGCTGGGCTTTGTGGTGAAAGACTCGGCAGAAGTGTTTGAGAGGGAGACTAGGCAGAAATACATTGCTTGTGCTGTGCTAAAAAACCTTGCAGCTGTTCAATGGAGAAGCCCTCGCCCTCGGACGGGCCTTGTGCTGTGGCTGTGAAAACCCCCCCACGTCTGGCCTGGTTCGGCGCCACTGCGCACACGCTCAGCAGGGCACTGAGAGCTCGCTCGGCTCCTAGCACAGCCTCAAAGGGCAGGCCCTGGGCGCTGTGAATCTAACGCCCGGTGAGGAGCTGCAGGGATCCAGTGGCTCTGGGCAGTGGTGTTGGTTCAGGTAAATTTCCCATGACAGTGGCTCCAGCCGCCCTTCGCTAGCTGGCCAAGCACGGGCGGCTGCTTCCCCATCACTCCCCCCCTCGCCAGGGCGCAAGGTGAGGAATGTCCCGGGGCATCGAGTCAGCATGTCACCCGCTCACCCTCTGTGGGGGAGAAAGGCTGGCGGACACCCGGAAGGGGCACTGGGGAGAGCTGGCATCACAAGAGCCCTTCCACCGGGACAGCTGTGCGCAGAGGGCGGCACCCCCCGGGGGACACTGGAAGGAACTCGGCTTGTTCCATGCTGGTGCCAGAGCCAGGGTTAACGCGGGAGGCAGCATAGCCTAGTGGGTGGATCCTAGTCCTGAGGGACCTCAGCCCACCCGTGGGCTGTTTAGCCTGGGAGCTCTTTGGGGCAGGGGCAGGGGCTGTCTCGTCTCGCTCTGTGTCTATAGAGGGCCCTGGCACTGAGCAGGGCTGACAGCGTATACCCCTTGGCTCCCTTCCCAGCTGATCCGGTCAGTGAACTTCCTCCCTTGCCCCTTCATTGTTCAGTAGTCTGGGAAGTCACGGCCCAGCATAGGCAGCCAAGGCAGAGCCCAGCCCTTCCCCTTGCTGATTAGAGGCCCAGGGCTCAGGCCGGCTGCTCAGGGAAGGGGGCGCATCCTTGCTGAGGCTCTGGGGGGACGAGCGATGCAGCCATGTTGTCTGCAAACATCAGGAAGCCGCTGAGATGGGTTGAGTCACAGAAACCCCCTGGGAGCTGCCACCTGATGTGCCAAGACTACGTCTGCCCCTGCTTTCCTGCCCTGGCAGCTTAGGGCTCCAGTGCCCTGCCTGGTTCGAGCCTGACCTGCTAGCCTGCTGCAAACCCAGACCCAGGTCTGAACCATGTCCCCTAACAGCTGCAGGCTTGACTGAAAGCAGCTTACAGACGTGTTCCTGCCTTTAACACTCAGATGCCCAACTCCCAATGGGGTCTAAACCCAAATAAATCCACTTTACCCTGCATAAAGCTTATACAGGGTAAACTCATCAATTGTCCGCCCTCTATAACACTGATAGAGAGATATGCACAGCTGTTTGCCCCCCCCCCCCATATTAATACATACTCCTGGGTTAACTAATAAGTAAAAAGTGATTTTATTAAATACAGAAAGTAGGATTTAAGTGGTTCCAAGTAGTAACAGACAGAACAAAGTGAATTGCCAAGTAAAATAAAATAGAACACGCAAGTCTATGTCTAAGAAACTGGTTCTTATCCACGAACGCTTATGCTCCCAATACTTCTGTTAGTCTTAAAGGTGCCACAGGACCCTCTGTTGCTGAATACGAATAACACCTCACCAGTTCCAGTAAGGTTCCTTTTACAGACTAGTCTCCTGCTAGTCTGGATCCAGCAATCACTCCCCCCCCCCCCGGTTACTGTCCTTTGTTCCAGTTTTTTTCAGGTATCCTTGGGGGTGGAGAGGCTCTCTCTTTAGCCAGCTGAAGACAAAATGGTGGGGTCTCCCACGGGCTTAAATAGACCTTCTCTTGTGGGTGGAGACCCCCCTCCTCCCTCCTATGCAAAGTCCAGCTCAAAAAGGTGGAGTTTTGGAGTCACCTGGGCAAGTCACATGTCCATGCATGACTCACAGTTTTTACAGGCAAAAGCTATTGCCCACATGGTATCTTGAATGTCTGCAGGAAGGCTTCTTATCTGGATTGGAGCATTCCAAGATGCATTGTTCCTTAAGTGCTTCTTGATTGGGCACTTAACTTTGTGAATTCCTTTCTCCAGGAACTGACCAAATATACTAAGGCCGTGGCTACACTCGAAACTTCAAAGCGCTCCCGCGGCGCTTTGGTCGAGTGTGGTCGCGCGCCAGCGCTGGGAGAGAGCTCTCCCAGCGCTGCAGGTACTCCACCTCCCCGAGGGGCTCCCAGCGCT